TGAGCTCAGTAGCTATCGTGGACTAAATGATTCATCACAGTTTGAAGTACACTGACTGTGATTTGGTGCTCTCCCACATGTATAACCTATCTGACTTACTCTTCATGCAGAAACTGGGTAATAAACTCTCTGGTGTAGTAATAGAGATAGTGAGAGCTGTGCCCATATAAGTAATTCACTGATTAATTTGGTAATTAAACAGCAGATCAGGTGACAAAGAAATTACTTTCTTTTATGTGGAAATTGATGTTAGACATAGATATAATCATTTATGATGTAATGGACTATAATGATGTGGTGAGTGTGGTGTTTGGCTGAGGTGCAGCTCTGCATAGACTGTTTGTGGCAAAGAGAAAAAACACTGGGGAGTTTATTTCTTAATTTACAGCCTGTAACAGCAAGAGGGCATCAAGTCTCAGTTAATGTTGTTGATGGGTAGCAGAGATTGATGCAAACTAACGTGATTAGTGGATATACACTATCAGTCAAAAGTCTGGACACGCCTTCTCATTTAATGTTTTTATTTATTTTTATTACTTTCTTCATTATATATGCGTACTAAAGACACCAAATGTATGAAGCAAGATATATGGAATTATGTAGCAAAGAAAAAATTGATTAACTTTAAAAATGCCGTATATTTTATATCTTCAAAGTAGCAGCCCTTTGCTTTGTTGACAGTGCTGCAAACCTTTGGCGGACTCTCAATGACCTTCATGATGTAGTCACCTGAAATGGGTTTTCACTTCACAGGTGTGCCTTGTCAGGGTTTATTTGTGGAATTTCTTGCCTTCTTAATGGAGTTGGGAACATCAGTTGTGTGTTGTGCAGAAGTCAGGTTGGTAAACAGCTGACAGCCCTATTTGACAAGTGCAAGAATCCCTGTTATGGCCAGAACCAATCAGCCATTTCAGGTGACTACCTCATGAAGCACATCGAGAGAATGCCAAGAGTGTGCAAAGCAGTAATCAAAGCCTTTGACTGGCAGTGTAGGTGGGCAGAAACTTGACAAGTGAAACAGCATCAACTCACAACTACTGCCAGATATGGTTTAGTATTACTCTTTTAAATCTCTTGCTTCATTTTTCTTTGAGGTGTATTTGTATGTATTTGTAAAACAGCTGACAGCAGTAGTAGGTTCATACATTTCAGTTACTAACTAAACAGTTGTAGCTTCTGTATTAGGAAAACAAATTCCCCAGTGCCTGAGTATGCTTGAGTAGGAGGTCAACTTAGACCAGGATGGACTTGGCACAAACTTTGATCTGCATCTGATTTCAGTTCTTGGTTGGGAGGTGTTGAGGCTCCTGTCAACAAATCGTGCATTTTTAAATGAGAGGTCTCGGGCCTAGGTGGGAGATAATTGTCCTGGTTATCCAGGCTGATTTGCCCTGTGTCTTATTGAGCAGAGGAGAGTTCAATATGAATCTCTTTCTCCGGCCTCTGTGAATGTAAGTTGTGATTACACATTTCTAGTGCATATGTGCCCACTCCAGGTCAGGGATGAGTTACTACTACAGATGGAGGAGTTGGGGTATCTTAGGGTCTTGTTCACAAAAGAGGGGAGAGTGGTGCTTGAGATTGACAGAAAGATTGGAGCGATGCTGTATCAGTTTCGTTATGGTGAAGAGAAAGATGAGCATAAAAATGAACCTGTTGATTTACTGGTCAGTCTACGCCTCAACTGTGGTCACAAGCTCTTAGTAACTGAAAGAACAAGGTCGTGGATCCAAGCTTCAGAAATGGGTGTCCTTTAAAGGTGGCAGGGCTCTCCCTTAGTGACCCATTGAAGAGCTCGGTCATTCGGCTCAGCGTAAAACAGCTGCTCCTCCACATTAAAAGAACCCAGTTGAGGTGGTATGGGCCTCTGGTAGGATGCCTCCTACTGGTGGTCAGTGCTGGGAGAAAAGTTATTTAGTGGCACATGTAACAACCACAAGATCATCATCTCAACACAAATCAGCAATTGCACTGTCTATAGCAGTAGGAAAATCTATGTTACACGTCTAAATAAAACTGGTTAGTTTATACAACATTGTATCATCCAGCCTTTTAACTTCAGGGTGCTAAATCAGGATGACGTAGAGCCATAAAGAAGTGTTATTCCTACACCAAAAGCCATGCGCACTTTAAATATAGAGTAGAAGCCAGTGTTAAAAGTTATATTAAGGGTGTTTTCACAGCTATAGTTTGTTTACTCTGGTTTTAATCAGTTGATGAGTTTGTGAACTTGTAGCTTTTCCTTATGATTTGGTTTGTTTTCACACAAGAAAATTCCAAGTGGACTCCAAGCAAACCAAAATGTGTCACTACAGACCGCCTGAAAATGTTCGGCATGCTTATTGGCCAGATGTGAGCACTAGTGTTTTTTCACAAAAGACATAGCATGCCAGCTCATAGTTTAATTCTAAGTTTTTCATTATGTCTCTCAGTAATGACTAAAAGCCTGCCTGACATTTTCTTCTTGTCCTGACTTTTATTACTTCACTCCTTTTTTCTTTCTGGTTTATAAACTGTTGCTTTTGTAACTGTTTATAAACCGTGTCCATGGACTCACAATGTCCATGTCACTGAGACATTGTTCAGCACATATATACTATAAATCAAATAATTTCAACTGACTATTAGTTAATGCCTGCCTATACATAGGTGATGTCACTTGTAATTACTGCAGTATAAAGTCATATACCCTTTTCCTGGTTGAAGTTATTACTGTGGCTGATATATTATTATACATTATAACTATTTTCTTATTTAAAAAAAAACAAAACAAAACTGAATGGAAACGGGGACAGTAAGTAGGGCACCAAATGACCAGTAGAGTTTGTATGTCTGTCTGAGCCCACACAGTCCCACCCACCCAGTAGCAGACATACCAGTGACATCACATCAGCCCTCTCTCACGATTCAACGCATCCACAGTGAAAAATGTCACATTCACGTGCCTACATGTGAATGTGCTTTCCTTGTAGATGCACTTTCCATGCATTTCCTTCATGTCATCATCACTGTTGGTTAATTTACAGTGATTCACTATTTCAGCATAAGCTCTGTGTAACATTAAGTTTTTCCCAAGTTGTTTATTGAATGAGGGTGCGTGGTTAAGTTGTTTAATAGAGGTCTAACAGCAGTCTAAGTGACTTCTTGATGCGTGGCTTTATGCAGTATGGTAAAAGGAAGCAGCCACAATAAGTCATGACAATAGATGCCAACACAGGAAAACCGCAAAAGAAAAGAGGAACTGTGTTTGCAAGCAGACCCCCATAGAATCAAGATTATGCAAAATCTGGCTTAACGTTACTATAGATTGCTATATAGCTTTGATAAACAGGTTCTTTCAGCTGCTCTCTTGTTCAGGGGTTGCTCCAGCACACTTGAATTGGCAGATCTTTACACCGGATGCTTTTCTGGTCACAATCCTGCCGGGGATAGATTCCTCCAAAAAGGGGATCTTTTACATGTTGGGTGTTAAACAGTGCACTGTGGAGTCACCCACTATAGATCTTGTTGACTAAATGAAAACTGGTATATTCAGAAAGCAATATTGAACAAATGGTTTTCTATTCAATTTGCATAGTAACCCAGAGATCTTTGTTTGCTGTTTAAATTGCCAGGTCTTTGTAATTTTCTATGTTTAATTCTCAACACTTTTTAAAAAGAAAGTTTTAGAAGTTATTTGATCAGACATTTGCTTCGTTTCATAGCTCTCGAATTCTGCATGGGAAACAATAAAAGCTTCTGTCGTTGCTTTCCCAGTTCCAGTATGATACCAGTATCTTGGTTTTGGGTATCTGCCAATACACACCATACACCATTCACTTGCCCGATGTGCCGTGGTTGACCTAGATGAGGCTCAACTGAGCTTTCCGCAGTTGGGCGTGGCCTTGTTTTTATTTAGAGAGTCATATTTGTCCTTCTAAAGGGCTTTATCTTAAGCCTTTGACCCTTACTCTGTGTGAGAGAGTGAGTGGGTGGGACACAGAAAATGAGGGGACGTATGTGACTGCTGCCTCTTGTGTAAGATGTTGTGCAGGGTTTTTTAGTTTTGTTTTGGAGGGTTTTTTTTGTTTTTTGTTTTTTTTCCTCTGTCAAGGGTTATTGTGCTCCGAGATTACAGCCTTTAACCGTATTATGACAGTCCACAATGTCAAACTGTCGCTCATTACTATCTGCCGGCCTAAATCATCATCCTGCCAGAAGCATGCCAGATGAGTGCAGATGTTATACAACACAATGAAATTCCTTTTAAACATACTGTAATGTCATTGCCGATTGTTTATTATTAGACATGACCTCATATCGCCTCTGCACTAACAGCTGGGACCCTCGTCATGGGGAAGTAGTTGCATAGCACAGTAGTGAGCATCAAATCCAGCATTTGATAACATTTAGAGGACAGAGCAGCATACAGTGAATTTTTGCTTGAAAACCAGTTTAAAAAATGAAGAAATATATTTTAGTTGTTCAGGACTGTCAAGGCAAAGACTGTATACCCATAATTTGGATATCATCAAGTACCAAAAATACTGTAACAATTAATCAAAAGGAGCGGTGTCACACAATTACTACTTGATGACAACAATGGATGAGAATATTTAATTTTAGGTTCATGAATTTGTTTTTATAAACAAAAGGTCACAGCAGGGGAAGGGACAGGTGGATCAAACCGTAACCAGCCTCAGAGTGGTAGTACCGACATAGCCCTTTCAGAAAAATGACATCAGAGCCAGATGCTATCAAGAAACAAATTCAGCAGTTCTTCTTTTTAGTAACTATTCTATTTTCTGTTTTCAGTTGGAGGTTTCAGATATTTTTCTGCTGGCAAGTATAAGGTCGTGCCCAGGCACACTTCCCTCTCATTTTAGTCACAACACACACTCTGACACGCAGCAGAAAACAATATAAGCCTACACAAAAAGAAAAAAAAAAAAGCGGTGGATAACTGGAAAGTCAAACCAAATGTCTCAAACTTATGCTTCTTCCTCTTCGTGTATTTACAGATCTTTGGATGGCCGTCTTCAAGTTTCCCACAGAAAAGGTCTGCCCCACGTCATCTACTGCCGTCTGTGGCGCTGGCCCGACCTGCAGTCCCACCACGAGCTGCGGGCGGTGGAGCTGTGCGAGTACGCCTTCCACACGAAGAAGGATGAAGTGTGTGTCAACCCATACCACTATCAGAGAGTAGAGACACCAGGTACGACAGCTCGGACAAACAGAGTTCTTTCTTTGTTCACTGTTGTGTTGTTTGAAGAAAATAGTTACGTACATTTCCAGCGTGTTCTAATGGGTCTTGGTTAGTGGAATGGGTTTTGTTATTTATTTATTTATTTTTCTCCCACTGGATGTTTTTATAGGTTTATTTGTATCCACAGGGTTTGTGAAACACCTTTCCTCTTATCAGCTGATCAACGGTTTATTAATTTCTGTTCCAATAAATATTTACTTTATCCATACATGAAATCAGTCATTGCTTTATTACTATATTCTGAGAAAAATACTTTGTGTGTTTGTGTCTGTTATGCAGTACTCCCACCAGTGCTGGTCCCCAGACACACAGAAATCCCCACTGAGTTCCCACCTCTGGATGACTACAGCCATTCAATCCCTGAAAACACCAACTTCCCTGCTGGCATCGAGCCCCAGAGCAACTATATACCAGGTACCAGCGTGCCTCCTAGCATGACTCACACAAAGTACCTCCTTATGGTTTATGCTTTGTGAGAACTAGTTTGTAAGGTGGGCTGTTTATGCTGTACTAAAGAGTTTGGTGAAAACTGACTGTAACAGAGAAGAAGTAGTAGTAAAGTAGTTAAAATATGAGGATGATGGTGCACGCTTGTGGGTTGTTTGTCACAAAAAAGGTGGAAGTACAGCTCTTGGAAGAGACCTACCTAGTTTGTGATTGCAAAGGTGTGTGTGTAATTAAACTAGTTTTACTATAATTTTCCTTTTGAATCTTGAGTTGGATGAAAGGCTTTTACAACATCGTCCCAGGACAGGAGCATCAAACACAGGACCTGGGGTCAGAATTGGCCTGACAAAGACTCCAATCTGGTCCTATGGAAAGCTTGGAATATGTAAAGAAGGGCACAAACATTGGACTTGCTAACTGCATTTTCATACTTTTTACACTTTTTCATACTGTTTAGGGCCTCCCTCTCTCTTTATATGGAGAGATCGGGCAGCTGCATGACTGGCCCACATAAGGTCAGAGCGTGCTTCATGTGGGCCACAATGTACAATAAGTTTGGTGTTTCTGTTTCAAGATTAAGCTTTTTAACATTATAAATAAACATACAGCCACATTTATAATGTGGCTGTATGTTTATTGTCAACCGGTAGCTGTTGAAGTGTTATTGATCCTTTTGATTTACTTTTCTTTTGGCTTTTCTGTTCAAAAGTCGAGTTCTGATGTATTGTGAGAGAATTGAGAAAATGGCCTTTTGACTATGAATTTAGGAAGGGATTTACTTACATAAGCTGTTTTTCAACAGGTTAACGATTATTAAATTTTAAACACTTTCACTCATTCACTCACTGACTAGAACCTTCTCACTATTTAGGAAGTTCTGTGTAGGTGATTGTACGGTCACTCTTTGCGTCGTTAATTATGTTGTACTTCAGAATAATTAAAGCACAGCAGGCCAACTGTAATAATAGTAGTAACACATACTGGATTTAATCAAATTATTAAATACAAGTACTTTTGGGCTGCTCTCATTCCTCATCTCTATCTGTTATTTTTCCCTCAGTGCAGCTACAATGCTTGGTTAGTGATCAGGGGCCACCAACATGTCAGTATGAGTGAGTGTTTGTCTTTGCTTGTCTCAGAAACACCTCCACCAGGCTACCTCAGTGAGGATGGAGAAACCAGTGATCACCAGATGACTCATAGCATGGACACAAGCTCCCCAAATCTGTCACCTAACCCAGTTTCACCCACACACAATAACTTGGGTAAGAAATGCATGTGTCTGTTTGTGTACTTTTCTGTTTGTCTGCCTTGATTTGCAAACAAATGTTTCAGCAGCGTATCTCCCCAGTGGGAATTCTCTGTTTGGTTTAACTCATTTCTGTAAGAGGAAACCAGATGATGAAAGAAGCCTTTGTGTTCCCCGCTCACCATGTGAACTTTTGAACAGGTCAAGACACCACGCAGCCCACAGTAACATCAATAACAATATCCTAGGTTTATTCTATCAAGACGGAAAAGCGCCAGGAGGCTTGGCTGGAACGCAGTTGGTGAAATAATAAAGCAACACCAGTTTCATTTGGCAGTGCTGTCCGGTTGTGTTCTGGACTTCAAAGCAAAGGACAGAATGTTTCTCAGCTGGTAGAGGGGGACAAAAAGGAGCAAATTACCAGAAACAGTTGAATTTACTGAAGAGTACCATGGACAAGTCCAACTGGGCTGCAGAATCCTTCAAGTGAGGGTTGAGTTTCCACATTTTGTCTGGTTAAAGCTTCTGGGAAACAGTGTATGGGTTTGACATTTTGTGACGCAGGCTCTCTCCGTGTTTTTGTTGGTTTTCTCTTTTTTTTTTTTTTTTTTTTTTTTTTTTTTTTTTTTCCTCTGTCTGCACCCTCTCAGCCCTTTTCTCCATATATTTGCCTCTTCTTTGTTATCACTGCTCTTAATGTATGTTTTCTTTACCATCTGAATAATTTTCTGTCTATTAATTCTGTGATTTCTGTCTTACTATTCTACTACTTTGACTTTGAGAATACGTTCAAACATTGCATTAGTTTAATTGTTCTGCACTGTATTAGCAACAGTATTGAACTCAGTTCTTTCCTTTTTGGGGTCCTCCTCTGTCTCAGACCTCCAGCCAGTGACGTATTGTGAGCCGGCCTTCTGGTGCTCTATTTCTTACTATGAGCTGAATCAGCGAGTCGGGGAGACCTTCCACGCCTCGCAGCCCTCGCTGACAGTGGACGGCTTTACGGACCCGTCCAACTCAGAGAGATTCTGCCTGGGTCTTCTGTCCAATGTCAACCGCAACGCAGCTGTGGAGCTGACACGCAGACACATTGGTAGGCCAGGCCTTATGACTCCATTTGGATAATATCTCCTTTGCCTTCTCAGAACACTTTTATTCACTTGATTTCTTGAAAGACTATTGGCTTATTAACAAACATGATTACGTATTGCTTTAGACCTGTTATACAACATTGTACTTTTAATTATTGTTGTTGCTGACTTGTTTCGGCTCTCTGCCTCTCACTCTTTACCTCAAGGTCGTGGCGTAAGACTGTATTACATTGGTGGAGAAGTGTTTGCAGAATGTCTCAGTGACAGTGCAATCTTTGTCCAGAGCCCCAACTGTAATCAACGTTATGGTTGGCATCCTGCTACAGTCTGCAAGATCCCTCCAGGTATGTGTCCAGCTAACACTGGGAGCATCGAGAGACATACAGGACAGGGAAAGGGAGTAAGACAAATGAGTAGGACGGAAGACAGTGCAATAGAGAAAGACCAAAGTTTACTTTTCACAGAATTGGCAGTTCGATCCCCAAAACGTGTGTGTGTGCGTGTGTGTGTGCGTGCGTGTGGTTAAATGTAAAGTAATTTGGGATTGAAGTGCTATATGATTCCATTCAGTTTTCCAAAGAGAGGCAGAGGCCAATATACACAAAAACAAATTGATTGATGATTCAGAAATGATTCCCTGAGGCTCAATCATCAAATGAGGCTACAACACATCGCCTACCTCATCGCCAGCCCGTCAATGTCTCCTTTGGCTAAACTGTGGTCGGGTTAAAAATAAGGTTTTTTTTCCTTTCCTCACTGGTCTCTTTATTTTTACCACGTAATCGGTTTGGATTGTTAAAAGCTTTCCCCAAGCACATCTGCAAATGTTAACAGTTTGTTGTCTGAAACAAGATGTTTATACAATCATTGCAGCATTTAGTTGAGTCAGTGACGCATTCAAGTACACATTCCTTTAATTTGGCTGTTTTCAGCCAAGTCACTGCAATCTGATTCGGTAGGACCACGAAAGATATTTCTCCACTTTTAACACAAGTCTGTGTGGAAAGCCATCAGATTAATAATGTTAGTTTGACTACTCTCATGTAAGATAAATTTAAATTGTTTGTGTTTTGTAGAAGCTAGAGATCAGCTTCATCTTGATTTTTTTTTTCTAGCACCTCTAATTGATCTATTGTTTGTTGTTCTCATCAGGATGTAACCTAAAGATCTTCAACAACCAGGAGTTTGCTGCGCTGCTCGCACAGTCAGTAAACCAGGGCTTCGAGGCTGTGTACCAGCTCACCAGGATGTGCACCATCCGCATGAGCTTTGTGAAGGGCTGGGGAGCCGAGTACAGGTAAGCTGCAGCTCTGAGTTAATGCTAGCCACTTTCTCGTCTCCTGTTTCTGCAACAGTGTAGCAGTGTAAAATCCATACGAGGTCTGCATGTAAACGAAGACAATAGACACAAACAGAGTGTGAATTACATCCCACAATCCACCCGCCCCCGCTCGCTGGCATGTGCACACACTGGTGAATCCGGTCAATGATGTCACAGAGCTCTCGTCTATAGAAACGGGCCCCAGTTGGCAAACCAGACAATTTTTAAGCAAACACACATGTGGTGTGTCAAAAAGAGATGTCAGACTTTCCCTCTTCCTTTCCCTCCCCTTTTTCCACACAGTCTGACTCACTGATAGTAAGAAAGGAAGAGATGGAATTAAAGGCAAGCAGATGATTGGCTGAAAGTTGGCCGTGCTCAGGCGGTTTCCACAAGGGAGAAACCTTTGAGCTGGGAGTGACTGCTCAGCAGTCCTGTCCAGACCAAATGCTCACATGTGGAGACACTTAAACACAGGATTCAGGTTACTGGAGTAGCCAGGCCCTCCTTCTCTACCTCCACCTTCACCTCACTCTCACTGCCTGTTTCCATTGTTGGCTGTGTCTGTTTAACTCTTTAGTCCCTTGTGTCTGTTCACTTCTCTCTGCTGTGAGAAAAGCAGTAAAGGAAAAAATGTTATGGCCCCTTTTTTGTCTTTATTGAGAAAAAAAAACTAAAGAAAAAGCTTAAGAAACTGCATCATTTTGTAGTTTTAGGGTTTTTTTTGCAGTTGCTGCAAGTCTTCCAAATGATTTCTTTATTTGAACTGTACAAATTCAAGAAGTATGTGTCATTGATTAGAACTACAAATACATATCTTAAGAGGTCAAAATCAATAGTTGCTGTTGTTGGTTTTTCAGTCAGTAGAATTTTTGCATTCTATCTTTAGTGACACAGTGTGTTAAAGTGTAACTCAAAGAAGCTGTGAAAGTTGTCTGTCTTACATCAACACTGTAATGAAAGCAGAGCAATGTGACTTTGTAAGTTTGCCCACACTCTTTAACAGCTGTGTCTGTTTACCTCACATCCCTTTGTGCCTCTTTGGTCTCTCCCAGGCGACAGACAGTGACCAGCACCCCCTGCTGGATCGAGCTGCACTTGAACGGGCCCCTGCAGTGGCTGGACAAGGTGCTCACACAAATGGGCTCCCCGAGTCTCCGCTGCTCCAGCGTCTCTTAGGGAGACCATTCACCTGCTCATTTCCTGTCAATGACTAGAAACACACAAACTGCACACGGACGAGAACAGCTACACAAGTACTGAAAGATGACGAACCCCCTCATTCAGCCACTGTTACTTTGTTCTTCCTCCCCACCAGCTGTCAGTAGCACTTTTTATTTACTTGTCTGTTTTGAAAGGGGCCGAGTGCATTAAAACAGTTAAATGTTAGAAGGATCTCTAAATTTGACGTCTGTAATTATCCTTTGTTACCTAAAGGACTGAAGTTATTGCTACACGAGCTTCTTCCTGTCTGGTCGTGTTTGTTTAAACATTAGTCTCATAGTTTTTACCTGTTTTGTACAGATGTTAAAGAAAACGGCTGATCCAAAAAAAAAAGTTTTAAAAAAAGATTTAATTTTTAACCATTACTTTTGAATTTGTAATGCATGTGTATGTGCATGTTAAATGCATTTTACATGATTTTGTTTCTGTTTTTGGGCATTTAATACTTTATGAAAATGTGACCCAGTCAGATGGCTTGAAAAAGAATTGTATAGTGGGAACAGTCAACCAACATTTATAAAAATACAGCGTGAAGGAATGGGAATATATTTCTGTCTGGGTGAATAACAGGATGTTTTAGCTTCACAGTCAAACTTCAAACGGAAACAAAGGAAAGCAAAGCTTCAGTCAAACTTGCTGCCATTCAGGTGGTTCTTAATCAAGTGCTGATTTGAACTACTACCTGAATCACAGTTGCATATCTCACATGTGGGATCATTCAGGGTGGTGCACTTTTATAAAATGTTGATTCTCTGGTAAAGTGTTGTTGCAGCAGCTGAGGTGGTGCTTTATCAGTGAAATGTATTCTGCACTCATTTCTGGAAGCTTTGCCAATTTATATTGTAGTGTGTCACACATGCAGACTTGAAAACATCTCACATACTGTACATTTCTGCATTGTTAAAGGGGACCGGTTATGCTTATTTCTGCTTCCAGGTTTTTATTGTTGAGCTCAGTGGTCAAAATAATCCTCATTTTTGTCACTCTGATCCTGCATCCAGCAGCTCTGGTTGTGCTTTGTCAGGAGCAGACTGTTACCTCCTCTACTCTCGAGGCTACCTTTCTTCTGATTGGCTGACCTTTGCAAACTGAAGGTTTGAATAGGAGGCGCTTAAGAGCTTTCTGCTTGAGATTACCTATTGTGTGCTATTACAGGATCTGAAGTAATGGCCATGTTTAATAACAGCATGCAGCACTGTAAAGGTACGTGTGTATAACAAAAATATAAAAGGTCCCCTTTGAACTGCAGATTGAACAGACTTGTTTATGTATCTGCAGAACGCTTTGAAGTGCAAGGGGAGCAAAGGGTTGCCTTTGCTTTCGCTAATATTCTCAGCCATACATAATATTGGTCTTAAAATTAGCCATGCTGACTTTGTGCACTCAGGACTGTAAAAGAACAAAAAAAAAAAAAACCAGAATAATATACAGAAACCAATGAAAAGAGGAGATGTATGACCTTTGAGACTTTTTAGTCTATTTTGCTATCAATTAGGTTTGTAACATGATACAGTGGAAAATAACTGCTGGCAGGTCTGGGGGGGTAGTAGCCCTATATATATATATATTTTTTTTTTCTTCTTAATAATCTGTGAGGATAAGACAGTTTAAGTACAAAGCACAGCTTTTAACAAAGGGACATGTTGAGATAAATAAGAGGCATGTAAATACCAATAGCTTCTCAAAATTCCCTTTTCTTTTTTTTTCTTTTCTTTTTAGGCCTGTACATATAGTATATACGTGTGTTTTAATAATGTGGCCATTAGCCTTTATAATGTTGATCGTTTTGGAAACAGAAGAAGAAAAAAAGATCAAAAACTGAAGAAAAACAAATGTTGGGAAAAGCGATGGCAGAAATAGAAAGACAGTCAAAGCTTTAGTCCCGTTTCCTTTCAGCCACCCACTGTGATGGAAGTGGAACCATTTCCTTCTTGTTCTCTAACACTAGACAAAGACTCAGTGGGTGAGCATGAAAAATATTTTAAATCTTTGTACTGTGCTTATTTACATTGTCCAGGCTCTTGATGTTAACAGCAGCCCAGTGGTGCTAGTCTTTAACATTTTAGGGACTGAAGAGTAAACAACAAAGGCCCGAGAGTTTACCATCAACGCTGGTAGATTTTGATCTCTTTGGAATGATGATGACTTTTAAACCTGCAAACTTTAGTGGGATGGTTTCAGAAACAGTAGCATCTACCAATCTGAGACGAGCCAGCTCTTTGTAGAGCTTCTAGTGTCCTCGAATGCAGTAGTCCTGATTCTGATGGGCTCATAGTCATTGTATTTACCCGGTAGGGATTATTTTTAAAGCAAATTTGTCATTTTTATACATTCTGCTTGTGTTTAGTTTTGTTTTGTTTGTTTTTTTATCCTCTTTGTTTAAATCTCACCCTGTAATCGCTATTATTAGTTGTGATTTCTGCTTCTGTGCTCTGAATTGGTCTTTTTAGATGTCTTGTACAAAACCCTTTTATTTTTCTCTGCTTATAAAGAGTTGATGTGATGCTTTATATTTCTGTGTATTATTGTTGTTTCGAAAATAAAATATATATCTTGTGGTGATACGTGAGCCTACGTGCTAAGTACGAAAGAAACTGAGGCTGGGTGGAACTAATCTTACATGACAAACTGCATCTTTATTTCTTGGCTGTGCATAATTATTCAAACATCGGAACAAATCAACATTATGAATCACAGTTAGCTGAGTTTTGTAGTTAAACGAGATTTGCTCGCATGAAATGTACTTAAAGCCCTTTATTAACATTTCCTTCAGTGTGGGGAATTCCTTGTCTGCGGTGGATAATTTCATACTGTCTTCAGAAGCAGACAGAGACGGTAATTACAGGCCCACAGCAGCCCTCTCTTGTTTCTTTACTTACTGCTACGTTACGAGCTAATTCAAACCATAAACATTTGTGCCGTCACAGAGGCGCGGCGCGGCTTTGAACATGAAGGCAGGCTTTGTTGTTGATGCCCTCAAGGGGAAAAGGGCCGGAACAAGCTGCTTGTCGCTGCAGAGACCTTGCTGCTGTGGTGACGAATAGTTTGTGTGGAAGGACCAAAGCTGGCTCACAAAAGTCTGCTGTATGTGCATGCATTTGAAAGGCAGTCAGCGCAGCAGTGAGGCTTCATTATTAATTGTTTCTTCGTGATTGTATAAGAGGAGACAGACAAAGAGCTGAGTGGATGTCTGTCTCCACCGTAACCTTCTACCTGAGCAGGAGAGGAAAGTATGTGATACAAAATGAATTTGTGCAGACAATTAAGCCCTCTGTTAAACATCCTGTTTCACATTTATCTGAACTATACCTGAAGGCAGATAATTATAAACTAGTTTCAGGTCAAACCACATGAAAAACTTGAATGGATTAATATAGAAACTAGAGAGTGCTGCTTGTGTCTGAGCACTGATAATCACTTTTCGTCATGATCTGATTCTGGAACAAGTCATTTAAAAAGAAATGAATATGTGTGAGCGTAACTTAGAAAGCTTTTTTGTTTGTTTTTAATAGTACATTTGCTGATTGTACAGAACATACAGTTGAATGGAAAGACATTGAAAGGACATTCAAGAGACGATATAAAAATCAAAGGTATGTACAATAGAGGCAGTATTGCAAATATAGTAACACATGGGCATATAATATAGATATAAAAAGAGCAGTTTGTGAGATGTACATGGACAGTGGTGCGAATGCTTGTAGCAAAATGCCAAAAACAGTCGGCAGCATTAAAAGATTTGAATGTACTGGGTCCTTGTGTGGAACCAGCTAACACAGAGTTGTGGTAGTGTGTTATAGGAGCAAGCCATCAACACAAGATCCATGGAGGCTGGGGTTTTCCACACCAGGCAAGACCCCAGGTGCAGGCTGTGTAAAGATGCCCCTGAGACAATCCAGCACGTAACAGCAGGGTGTAAGATGCTAGCAGACAGGACATAGAATGAACATCATGACCAAGTATACTTGAACATCTGTGCAGAGTATGGCCGGGAAGGTGAAAATGTGACTACCAAGCTGGGCGAGTGGCTCTAGCAGATCCCAGGAACAACATCTGAGATCTCTGTCCACAGGAGCGCAGTCCTAGGAATAGCAAAGATACTGCGCAGGACCCTCAAGCTCCCAGGCCACTGGTAGAGGACCTGACAGGGAAATTTAAATTTTTTTAATGTGTAAAAAAATAAAGTTTTCACAGGGCTTGCTAACCAAGCACCTCAATAAAAATAAAAACCCTGAAGATCTGTCAGTCTGCTGGTGTAAACATTCAGATGTGTTACCACAGTTATCCCAGGAGTGAAGAGTGAATATCCAAACAAATTCACCCCAAGGTCAGACCATGTTCAGCGAAACTACAATACCCAAGAGCTGCATCTCAGACTCTACAGGGCTGTGTTAAAAGGTTAAAGTTAATGGAATTAAAACTACTGCTTCTTTGAGTCTCGTGGTAGCACGGTTTCAGTTTACAAAAGAGCATCTGAACAAACCACAAAGAAATGTTACCTGTAGCCACCAAGGTTGTGGTGGGACGTTAAGAGAGCTGTGCCCACAAACCTGAATGAGCGACGCTGCAAAGAAGAGCGGGCCAAAATGAGTTTATATGATTTCATCACACACACAGAAGAAGTGCACCCGCAATGAAATGAGTACCCTAACAGATATAATAAGCGGTCACAGACTGGAATATTTTAAGACGAACTCTCGGGTCGGTAATAATAAACAGTTTTAGCTCAACACTGCCACCTATTGCTCGCACAGAATAATAGCAGGCCAGATACATTGTTCTATTGATTTATTTCAATCTTTTCGCCTTTATTTTCCATCAAAGAGGTGGAGTGTGCACAAAAACATCACACGCAATGTAGAAAGAATATTTTTGTCTCGATTTATATAAAACTGATCAGGAGATTTTGCACTTAACTATTAAACCTTTGAACTTAAAACAGCTGGACGCAGTCTGCTCGCGGGGCACGGCAAACCACGTGACTTTATCAGGCGGGAAAACAAAGGGCACTTACTTTGCATGTGATAAAATTAAGACTTATGCTGTGAGACAGCACACACAACATAATGGTGATAATATTCAGGTGTAGATTAGTGCCACACTGAGGTAATTTCATTCAGATGTTGTTAGGGAAATGGATCGTTTGGGGCTGCCTGCTTACAGCTAACAATGATTAAATGAAGATGAATACGTTCAGCAGAGAGAAAGGGCTCGGTACATCGCCCAGCACAGCAGAAATGAGGTGTCCCAGTGATTTAGGGCGCAAATATGGGAACAGATGAGTGGCATCAGCTCCGTCTCTGTGTGAAGGTCACCGTGACGCAGGTTTCGACAGTGTGAATGTTTGTTGGTAAACAAATCCATCTTGACAAAGGTCACCATTTGTTTCTCACTCTCCTTTTTTATTACTATTATCAGGGTTCGTACGTGTGCTTGAAATCCTTGAAAAATGCTTGAATTTTAATGTTGCCTTTTGAAGGTTTGAAAAGTGCTTGAATTTCAGATGTTGTGCTTCAAAGTGCTTGAAAGTGTAACTGTATTTCATTCACCACAAATAACTATCTGATTGAATAGTTTTCTTATCAGATAGAGAAATAAAATGAGTCGCAAAATGTAGAGGCAAAATTTGTATAGGTATGAGTGGCTAACATACCTGTAGGTTGCTGTTTTAATGAGTGTTTGATGGAAAACAACAATGGCGGAGTTTGCGCTCTACAGTCGCATGATAGGTGAGTCCTAGTAAATAATTTTCCAGTACGTTACACATGCTATTTTAAAAAGAATTATGATTATTATTTTGCTAGCTATCAAACTCGCTGGAGAAATGACTGAAATGCACTGAGTGTGATGCAGTATGGCAGCGCTATAATGGAATATGCTGTGAACTTAGCTAACATTACTTAGCAGTGATATCAGTTACTTTGCTCAAGTGAAAGCTTTAAACATTAGCCTGATACATAACTAGCTAACTTAAGGCTTTCTGATTAACCCTCTGGGGTCAACGGACCCAGAGTCTCCATTTCAACTTGGGTCAAACGTGCGGACTTCAAACTATACACCAGTGTTTAAATTGTGTTGATAGGCCACCTAAAACCAGTGATTTTTGTTTTTAATAAAACAGTGGTGTTTACTCCGGGAAGAAACGGTTAAAACGGCATTTTCTAAGGAGAGCGCTAGCAAACACGCTTGAGTGAAAAACAACAGTCATTGGTGAAAAAAGAAAAAACACTCCTTCCCTATTGGTGGAAAAATGTACCATGTCGACCAATCAAAAAAAAAAATGATATGGCAACATGTGGCATTTGGTTGTTTGGGAAGAGAGGGACGTTTTAGGAGTGACCGGCGAGAGAGAGAGAGAGAGAGAGAG